AAGGTTAACAGGGCAGGTGAAGTAGAGTTCACTTGTATAAGTGATCTAAGCATACGAATTGTTTTTGTGGTCGCCACTTTATTCATCACCTTTTCCCGTCCGTGCCAAGACACACGGCGGCATATGAATTAGAGTTCATCTGTGAAGGAATAGGATGGTCAGCACTTTGCCCGGCCGCATTTTGCAACCTAAGTTAGGTAACCATAAGAGTTGGGTGGACTCAGAGACATTTGCATTGTGAAAATCTTTTCCCAATATCTGATTTTGAAATCCGGTTGTTCTCCGTCAAAGCTAAAACGGCTTAAACCTAGTTTAGGGATAGATCTAGATAAATTCACTATATTCTCAATACGATGATATGTCTAGCGTATCCTATTTCAAATTTAATTGTTTTTGAGCGTATTAATATTACAAAGGGAAATATGGTTGAAGCTGTAGACGACAGTAAACTGAGTTGTGTATTGTATGAAACTACATCAATCGGAAAATATGCTCTATTTTACGTAGAAGCCATGTTATGGAAATAACGTATTTGTTCTTAGCTTTTATAATAAAGAGTGCGTTTCTACATATGAATATATAATTAATTTAAATATATCTTAAAATGGTGACAGGACAAATGATCTCAGGACAAATGATCTCAGACAAAATATCTCAGACAAAATATCTCACGGACAAATGATCTCAGGACAAATGATCTCAGGACAAAAGATCTCAAGGACAAATGATCTCACGGACAAAAGATACCAGGACAAAATATATCAAGACAAATGATACCATGGACAATTGATCTCAGACAAAATATCTCAGACAAAATATCTCACAGCAAAATTTTAATAGTGTATTTGATGCCTTTAGTTGATCTGAATATTTTTTATTTACTGTCATATGGTTTTGTTTACTATGTTTAGTATTGTTTACAGGCCTGTATAATAAGTATAAGAAATATTTGCCGTATAAATTTGTCATATTGCACTTAACATTTTAAAATTAAGATTACAAATAAAGTATGCGAAGATTAAAGATTTTTTTTTCAATAGACAGCGTAGGTGTGCTTGCCAAAAATGAGACAATCCTACGATGTCATGTGGACAAAACTAGATCAAATGGAATGAAATAACAATAAAGACACACCTTCGTATCAAGGTGGCCGCCTGCTTTGACGGTAGAGACATGCCTTAAAGGAAAGACATCCGCCCTCGATGGATAATACAACTAGCCTATAAAGTCAATAGTTCTTTGTCGGTCACACCTAAGTGATCAGTTGACAAATGCTTATTTAAACGACAGCGGTCATCGCGGAGCTAAGTTTGTCGTTGTGTGCATGCAAACAAAACAGTATTAGTGGTGATTTTGTTACCTCGCTGAAAGGTTTTAGGACACTAGTTTCTTGTGATTTTATGTATATAAAAGCCAAAAGTAGAGCAGCAGGAAAAGAGATTTGGAAATGTGAAGTTAAAACATGTCGAGCAAGAGTTCACACAATAGATGATCACATAGTATTGGAAAGGTGTGATCATAACGATGTACCTGCCAGCAAAGAAACGTAAGCGTTATGTTTGTGTTGATGATACAATAAATAATAGTTTTACGATACAAACCCGAAGACCCATTCATATTTTTGAAAATTATTTCGCGTATTTTGAACATTAATGCTGTATAAATAACTTTATTTGTTTTATACATTATCATTTATCAAACCTTTCAGGCTAAAGGAGTAAGTTTGCTTTTTATTTTTACTTTTTCAAATCAAATGCTATTACAAAGGTTAAGTTTAATAAATCTTTTGATGCTTTGTTAAGTTTAACAAATTCATTTTATTCACAATTATCATGCGTAGAAAAGTGAACAAAACTATATTGACAGTCAATAAAAAAAATGTTCAGATCAACTAAAATCATTCAATAGACTATTAAAATTTTGCTGTGAGATATTTTGTCTGAGATATTTTGTCTGAGATCATTTGTCCATGATATCATTTGTCCTGATATATTTTGTCCTGGTATCTTTTGTCCGTGATATCATTTGTCCTTGAGATCTTTTGTCCTGAGATCATTTGTCTTGAGATCATTTGTCCGTGAGATATTTTGTCTGAGATATTTTGTCTGAGATCATTTGTCCTGAGATCATTTGTCATGGAACCCTTAAAATATGTTTGTGTAAACATATTTTTTTTAAAAAGCACAATTTTCTTTTCATATATATGTTTTTTTTTAAATTCTAACCCTTGTGCAGATTCACTGATCAAGCAGAACCGATAAACAAAAATATAAACAAACAAATACACAATCGCGTAAAAAGAAATCTTAATTACGGAACTGCTTATATAGATACAAGATTAAAAATCATGTTTTTATAAATTCACTTACACTAGAGAACCCATTGCACTGGGCGCAGTACTTGTTCCAGAACAGATAATCCGTTTCCGTGTCAACAACAAAATTGTAAACATCCAAAGTCATCATCTCTCGTGGGATGTCCGCCTCACACAGCTCTACGACCCTGGCCGGACCGGTGTAGTTGTCCGGACAAGACCGGATGGTCAAGACGTGAGACGATGACCTCAGGGTCTCGCAGTGAAGTCGAGGTAGATTTTTCCGTGTCGTGTACTTGTAACTTCTGAAATTGTTAACACTGCGGAGCGATGTTATTTCTGTCCCATTTAATGTAAAGTCAAAATCACTTCGGGAAAGTTCGGGACAGCAGTTGTCGAATAAATCACAATACGGACGCCGGCAAGAACAGAAGATCTGTTGCGGTTCAAAATTCCTACGTCTACTAACAAACTTGTTTTCTATGCACCAGTTATTGTAGAACTGCTGCAAGTAGGAAGTTGGTGACATCGAAGTTTTGTTCCAGGGAACAATGGAGGATCCGCTGGCAACTTGACCATAACATCCAATGTTACAATGTAAGGTCAGGGTTACAAAACAGGCGTAATAAAAGTTTATTTTCTGCATGACTAGTCGTTTAAGCTGTTGATTTGATTTAAGTAACCTGTTACTTATTTTTAATTTAATTTTTCATATAACTGTTTCTGTTTTCTAGTACTTCACAGAAACCGAAAAGTTAACTAATAACATGGAAATTCTGGTTTTCCAGCCATTTAAAGAATATGTTAGTTATTTTCCGTATAGAAATTTATACAAGTTATTTATTCATAAGGCTAAAAAGCGAAACATCATGTCGATTGTTTTCTTTCTTCTATAATAATTGCAATATCCTATTTCATATGATGATCATCAAACACAATGTTTTAGCTAATTTTCTCTTTGTATACTTATTTATTCTAAAAACAGATTTTCTAGTTTGAATAGAAAAAATTAAAACCCGCTATCGTTAAAAACATATGCTTGAGCATTGCCTCTATAATTGTTAATGTTGAAAGTATAAACTTAATCTTAAAAAGTGAAGAAATCCTTTCAGCGATGATTATTGGCATATGAAAAGCAAAAAACCAATTCTGTAGAAAATATTTACATTTTTTCGATATGGAAATGTGCGTATTGAAGCTTGAAGTAAATGTTCGTAAAGCTTTTAATTCGTGGAACGTTAAACAGAAGGAGAAAGAGGCCATTGTTTTGAACAATCTGTATTGTCTTCCTATTTCCCTATCAAAATAATCTTCTATCCACATAGGTCTTACCAGTAAAACCTTACATTGTCTGATTCTTGAAACATTGTTTATGCCTTTAAAATAACAGTTTTTCAAACATTCTTCAAAGCTCTTTACGGCAAACGTTTACTTTCAGGAAACAATATAATTAAATAAAATTAATCCTTAAATTTTTTTATCGTACACTCATTGTACAGATATATTCAAAAGAAAACTATAAAAATAGTAAGCAAACCAGATTAAATTTAATGGATGATACATATTGAGTACATACGAATAGCATAAAAATATATTTTAAATTTGTCCCTTGTTATGAAAAGAAAATATCGTGTCTTAATGGGCTGAGCAATTCTAACAACCTCTATTATGTTCGTTTTATGTTATCTGGAGTTTTCATTTTATTATGCATGGAAATTGATAGGATTGCTGATTCAAAAATGAAATATTAGATTTGTTAATGTTTCAAAACAGTTCATTCTTTTAAAAATGCAATTAAAAACCGAAATAAGCTACATGCGTGCGAATTTGTATTACTTAAAAATAAATATATATTTCTAGATGAAAATGGAAGCTCTCATTTCCATGATAATTTTCATGGCGGTGATGAACACAATTTCCGTTAAAATTGTTTGTTTGTCGTCTAATATTGAATAGTTATAACAATGCGATATAAATTACATGTATTCTATTACACTATAATAATATGTTAGATGTTTTGAGCGCTTTCAAATAGGTATGCACGATTAATGTATTAGTAAATGTATGGCATCGAAAGATTTAATGCAATGTATTTTAAATTTTATACAAACGAGATATTTGTATCTGTAGTCACGATTTACATTGTTTGTGTTACTTTTATTGCCTTTGATCCATGTTAACATAGTATAATGCGAGCTGATGACAATGCTCTCTTCTGTTGTTGCATTTAGCAAAGAAAACAAGAATTTGAAACAATGTGCATATTATTTTACTGATACAGCAGTTTTATAACATCGTTTAAGATGTAGTGACGCTTGAAATAAAAATCTATGCTTTTATTTTATTCGGCTAAAATTGCAATACGCACGATATGTTATAAGTTTTGAATTTTTTCGTTTTGTATTTATTTAAAAGTTTACACATTTTACAGATTCTAAATATTTAGCACTTTTTTTTCTTTTCTCATTATAAAAAAAATACATTTTAACAAACCCACTTAACTATAAAATATTTGACGGTACGTCAAATTTAATAACATTAAAATTTCTTATATGTACCTCAATATATTGATATTTAAATTACGATTGGTAATTTTGTTAAATCTCGGTGTGTGGTTGTATAGAATATATTTTAAACTATCTTTTTCTTTTTTTTTTTTTTTGCAGGTTTGTGCTTAATCACTCCTCTAGCTCTTATCACTGTGTGTAATGTGGTTTTTTTCATCACCACCGTCGTCAGGATCTACACTATCAGCAGATCTGTCACACAACAGAACAACTTCAGCACCAGCGATAGACAACTCTCTGTGGTCTACGTGAAGCTGTCGTTGATGACCGGAGCTTTCTGGCTGTTTGCTATCGTTGGAGAAGCCACGGGTTCGAAACCACTTCAGTGAGTATCTAATTTAAACGGACAACATTATAAGTTTTAATCAAATTTATTTCAACAAATGATGTCTTAAAAATAATGTATATCTTATAACTAATTTAATAGGCCTTCATAAATCTTTCAATTTGTATGCCCTATTATCTAGTCAATTTAATAAACCTTTGCATATTGCTTGATTGTAAATTATTATAAAATATTGGTTGAATAAGTTTAAAATAAAAAAAATACTTTCTCGTATATACAAAGTATAGAGAAAGTCTTGTATTCTTTGGAAATACGCTTTTTTACTTTCCCTTATACAATGTATAGAGTAAGTATTGTAATCGTGCAGACTTTTTTTAAAAATCGAGATTTTTTGAAATCTCGACGTTTTACACCTCACTGATACGGAAAAAACATAATTTTGCAATCGTATCTGCATGTTTGTGTGTATGTGCGTGTGTGTCTGTGTGTCTGTGTCTGTAAATACGATAACTTGAGTAAGGTTGAAGCTAGGTTGATGAACTTTCAAATATATGTATTTTATCAAAATCATAGATCCGTATCAACTTTTGATCGATTTCCGATAAACTGAAATGGTACTTTTTCTACTTTGAATTGTTCAAAAGCCTATAACCTGAGTACAATTTCAGATAGATAAATGAAATTTCACACGTAAGTAAAATATCTAATCTTCTACCTTGTCTCGAATTTTGAGTAATTTCCCTTGACCGGAAGTAGCAATTTACGCTATTTCTGATTTCTCAAAAAACTTTATTTTTTGAGTACTAATAATATTCCGCACTATTATGCACATTTTGTTTTGGCGTTCGCTTGGTGCGAAATTCTTTTTTCTACGAGATTCTATTCTATTTTTAAAAGTTTAAGTAATTGAAAATCATGTCTATATTCCAAGTTGCCATCCCACGTAGTGTTATATAAGAATATTCGAGAAAGTTTAAAGGAGATCACTCCCGGTTTATTTTCATTCAATATAAGATAACAAAAAAAAAGGAAATGAAATATGAGAATTGCTGCATTATAAAATGCAACACATTTTTAAAAAAAAACACATCATATACAAATTGCTTGTACTAGGTATTAAAGTTTAAGTTTTAAACACATTGTAAAATGTGTATTTTTAACAGCAATTAATTAAATGGTATTTATATGTGTGTCATTTTAAGTCCAATGTGGTTGAAAATTGTACAATTTATTTATTTCAAATGTATTAGAGTGCATGTATCAATATTTACGAATTTAGTAGTAATCTAACTTTTCTATCCAACAGGTTTACATCAATTGTACTTAACGGCTTACAAGGTGTTTTCTAATTTGTGGCGTGTATCTGTAACCGCCGTGTGGTCAGACTGTACTGGTCATCCATTGCACAACTTGACGTTACATCTACAAGACATTACACAACTGAATAGAACATGTACTGGCTCTAAATACATCAGATCGGTCACAATTGAACTAACGTCTTTAATTATTTATTATCTTTTTTTACATAATCTTTAAATCTCTATAAGGATTAGGCTAGAGCATTTGTTTTGTAATAAGATGACTCAATGTCAGATATCGATGTACCCATCTGTATGTCCCACAAACTAGTGCATTAGCAAAAGGCAAGTTGACTCAGTGATCAGACTAGAAAAATATCAAAATTATTTGTTGCTAAACAGTTGTCCATTTTGATATTTTTATAGTGCCTACTTGATTCGTTTGTATATTGTTCCTAAGTTTTGTATATTATTGCTTTAAGTGTGTATTTTGTTTTTATTTATTCTCAAGTGTATACTGTTTTGTTGTACCATATTAACGCTTCATTTGTCTTTAATGAATTAGTTATAGCTACTTCGAAATTTAATGTTTTTATGCACACAGATCAAAGTTAAGAATATTTAATTTTTTATTTTTTTCTGAACTATCACAAATAGGTTTTCTCTTTTTCGCATTCTAAGAAATGTATGTTTTTAGTGTGTTGCATAAATATCTAACGCTGTAACCTATTTACAGATTTGTTTTTAAACTATTCAACTGGGGCTTTAAACCTAGACTTCAATTGCATGAAACAACGTAACATTCTTGAATATGTTTCCACCGTAAAATATTTATATTGTTATATCAATCTGGAATTTAATAATTATAGTTGTAGTTTAATTTTTCACGAGACTTTTGTTTTCAGTTCACAATTTCTTAACGTTAGATAGTTAATAAAAGGGAGCCGGACGTTTTCCCGAAAGACACTTGCCCGAATGCCGTTTGCCCGAAGGCCGATTTCCCGAATGGACACTTGCCCGAATGCGACAAATGCCCGAATGGACACTTGCCCGAATGCGACAAACGCCCGAATGGACACTTGCCCGAATGCGACAAATGCCCGAATGGACACTTGCCCGAATGCGACAAATGCCCGAATGGACACTTGCCCGAATGGGACAAATGCCCGAATGGACACTTGCCCGAATGGGACAAATGCCCGAATGGACACTTGCCCGAATGGGACAAATGCCCGAATGCCACTTGCCCGAAGGCCGTTTGCCCGAAAAATGTTAATATTAGATAATAAATAATATTTCCAAATAGACATTCTTTAATCAGTTTAAGTTTGAAATTTTGAATATAAACACAATTCTAAGCATAACAGTTGTTTATATTTTTAAATTTAGCTTTTATTTTTTTTTTCAAAACTGAGAAAGAGCTGTAAGAAAAACTTTATTTTTTAATAAATGTAAGGTGATGTTGGCGGCGGTGTTCTAACATTCTTTCGATGTATGTTTTGAACACCTTGTTTAGCCGACGTCTTGCGGTGGTTATATAGCTTTTATGACACGGCGTAGGCGGCGCGGCGTCTCGCAACATTGAACAGAGGCGCGTTTGTTTGTTTATCTTATAATGCTTAACTTGTGTGGTGATCATTTAACAAAAGAATGAGGCGAGGTCTAGGTGGCGATATTAAAAACTAAACGTAGTCAAATATGTTTGATCTCCATTTAATGCACCTTGTTAAGACAATGTGTTGAAGCGATTTCTTAATAAAGAAAGCAAAACTCATTTTAAAATCCGGAGATGAATGAAAATTGTATTTTTGTCTAATTTCATATATGGAAGAGAAAGTATGTTTCTACACTTTTTAAATATCAAATACAAATTAATTTAAAATGTCTGCGTGGTAATATATAATTATTTTTTTTCACTTTCTTTTTTGCGTAGATGTGTTTTTTTTTTTACCAAAATTTCAAATTTAAATTGATTACGAATGATTATTTAGTAATATATAATGTTAACATTTTTCGGGCAAACGGCCTTCGAACAAGTGGCATTCGGGCATTTGTCCCATTCGGGCAAGTGTCCATTCGGGCATTTGTCGCATTCGGGCAAGTGTCCATTCGGGCATTTGTCGCATTCGGGCAAGTGTCCATTCGGGCATTTGTCGCATTCGGGCAAGTGTCTATTCGGGCATTTGTCCCATTCGGGCAAGTGTCCATTCGGGCATTTGTCGCATTCGGGCAAGTGTCCAGTCGGGCATTTGTCGCATTCGGGCAAGTGTCCATTCGGGAAATCGGCCTTCGGGCAAACGGTATTCGGGCAAGTGTCTTTCGGGAATTTGTCGTAGACCCTTAATAAAATATAATTTCAGATACAATTATTAAAAACTTGTTGCCTTTGACAACTCGTCGGTTATAAGGACACATATCTAGTTGTTGTTTTTCTATTTTTATTTTTCTGTGAACGACGATCATTTTAGAAAATATTTCAACATAACAACGTCCTGATTATTACAAATAGAAGTCTTAATAAAAGCTTGTTAATAAAACGTTTTTGTGCATTTTTTCAGTCTTTTTTAATTTAAATGCAACTCGTCATCGTTACACCTTAATTATAGGCCTGTATATTTTTAATGTTATACTTGTTTGAGAAAAATAATTTATAAAACAGTTATCGGTAAAAACGCAATGTGTTTTTTAATGGTTAAACGATATAAGTGACAAAGTAAATAAATAACTAATAGCTAAAAACACGACGCATATAATACTACAAAGGCTTCTAATAATTATTACAAAATTAAAATCAAATTATATAAACTATTAGTAAACGCAATTAAATACAGACTTATAAAGAGACTTATATTATTCCGCTAAAATAACATGCTGTTCATTGGTATTTATGGTTTTTTAAAAGTAATGCTCATTAGTTTTGGCACAGAAAATTACAATGTTCATAGATTACGTCTTAAGAGAGAGAGAGAGAGAGAGAGAGAGAGAAAGAGATAGAGAGTATATGTGTTTAGTTTAAATTAAATCATAAAAAGTTAATTAATCAGCAATTTAAGACTAATTTGATGTCAGATTTTATTGTTATGTAGTCTTGACACAAATGATGTATTTCAAAGAAATTGGTCGGTTAGAAATGCTCGAAATTTCATTCGCCCATTTCGATCTAGACTAACATGACGAGGATGCAACTTAAATAAAAGCTTGTAGTAAAGTATGCTGGTTGTCCTATAAAAAACAAGCACAACATTTTTTTTATTAAACAGTTACGTCTAAATTGAAGTTATGTATTACTATGTAAAAATGTTAAATACATTTCTAAAAAATGTTGAAATTATTATTATAGCAAGATAAAAACATATTTTTAAGATTATCACAATAGATTATTAAAACTGGTTAGACATTTAGCTGTATTTACATGTTTTTTTTAAGTAAATCGATTAACTTTTTTACTACTATTTGGCCGTTTGTTTTACAAACAAAAGTAATTTTTTGAGTTGATTTATTCTTTTATTTAAGCTGTTTCTTTTGATCTATTATTATTCAAGCCTGGCTATGTATATAGACATTTATCATCGTAAAACAAACACTTTGTTAATCCTACAAAAGTAAAATTTCGTCCAGTTTTATAGCTCTTGTAAATTAAGACATGGGCATGCATTTATTCTAAAGCCGATAGTGGCTAACTGACCTAGATACAGCTATTCTAAATTTTATGGTCTCGATGTTATTTTATGATTGCTAGTAAATCTACA